GGGAGAAAGATGAGACTTTCTGCTCCCATAAAGATTTACAGCCTCGGAAACCCTGTACAGGGTCACTATGAATCAGAACTGACTCCACATCACATAACAACAAGAAGAACATATATATTTTACCCTCCAAATGTGTACCTCTACGTATTAGTCCTTTACTCAAGATGGTGTCTTATACTTGTTTTCCTCTTTGTCCCAAGCTACTTCCGTGAGAGAAGAAATGTAACTACCTCAGGTGGAAAATTTGTGACCCAGCAAAGTAAGTATATGCATTTAAAGCCAGTGTAAAGTAGGCAGAATTTATTTGATAGTATTACATTTGTTAAAATTGTGATTGAGAAGGCAGCCCACCTGCAGAATAGGGAGTAATGAGAATAACTTTCTACCTGTGTTCAAACCACTTCAGACAGTTTTAAAGGTGACTGAGTAAAAGGCAGTCTTATGCTCTCAGTCTCCTTGGAAATTTGCACATGCTACGTAAGAAGACTTTTTGTACAAGGTCCATTTATCATTAGCTACAATCAAAGGCATTAAACTAAATGAAAATGGGTTCTGGAAGTCTGAGCTACAGGACAAAGATATATGGGAGGCAGTTTTGCCATGGCAACCTGAAAGGCCTAGCATTGTTATTGCTCCAGTAAATTGATCGTTGACAGAGACCTTTCTATCCCTTTAAAAATTCTGCTGATAGACATTCAGGAACATTCTTCTTGACAAAAAGATGGCAAATACTTGGCTACTGAACCTTTTAACAGATTTTAACAGCAGAATATGCAAGTGTTGAGAACTTTTTACTTGTGAATAAGTACAACTGCAATATGTTAGAAGTTCTCTTTAAATAATTTATTTGAAGGTGCAACAATAGCTCTGAGGAATCCTGGTGTGATGCTGTAGAAGAATCAGTGGACTACTAACCACAAGGTTGGCAGTTCAAACCCACCAGCCAGTCCTTGGAAACCCTATACAGGGTCACCATGTGTTGGAACTGGCTTAACAGCACTTAACAACATAGTAGCATGAGGAGTCCTGGTATGGCTATATAGGATAAGCACTGGATTGCTAACTGTAAAGCCAGCAGTTCAAACCCACTAGCTGCTCCTTGGAAACCCTATACGTATTCACTGTGATTTGGAACTGACTCAACAGCTCTTAACAATAACAGTAGCTATGAGTCCTGGTGTAGCATTGTAGGATTAGCAGTAGGCTGTGGTTTAAGCCCACCAGCTGCTCCTTGGAAAGCTTAGCCAGGGTTACTGTGAGTTGGAAATGACTCCATGGCGCTTAACTATAACAGTAGCTATGATGTTAAAATAATTATTTTAAGTAGATTTTGAAAATTTGAAGAATATGGCATCTAGCTGTTATGTGAGTTATCTTTTTGTAATTGTTGTTAAATGCCATCTAGTTGGTTGCTTATTGAAAATTATAACAGAGTTAAGATTAATTCTTTGCAATTTATATTACTCGCTCATTTAGAAATTATCATTGAAATGGCTCCATCACAGTTTCCACTGTATTTGGAAAATGTGCTTTTTTATATTAACATGCTATCTTAGAGGATAACAAGGACACATGTATATGACACAGGGAAATTAAGAAGTGGTGGGTCATAGCGTCTGTTATCACCAGTTGAATGAATGGTAGGTATATCCTACAGTGAAGGCTACCTAAGAAGCGAGAGTTGATTAAGTGTTATGAGCGCAAGCTTAAGATGGGGTATGGGTATGGTAAGGCTATAAAATAAATGCATGCCTTTATTTTTTAAAACAATATTTCACATTATTCACTTCTGTCCATTCTTACCCTGTGATCCCTCCAAAAGATTCAAATGAGGAGAATTCATCTTCCGTTTTGCCTTATGGAGAGACTTTTCTCTTCCAGAGACTAGAAAATTCTAAGGTTAGTTCCATATATTTTATTTTTTTCGCCATTTTTAGTACTTTGTTCTTCTGCCTATATATGTCTCTTTATTTTCCTCTATATTGTTTGAAAAATGATTTCTATTGAGGAATGAAATATCCAGTCAGTAAAGTTTGTGTTTAATATAATCATGCTAATTCTATTATATATCATAAAAGCAAATTTTCAGCTTAATTTCAAGAATAAAGAAACTGGGGTTTTAAAATTCATCAGAAGATAAAGTGATTTAATAACAACAATAAAACATCAAAAACAAAAATAAAGGAATAATAACAAAAAAACCTTGTAAATTAAATTTTTTCTTAAACTCATATGCAAGAAACCCTGGTGGTACAATATAACAAGCACAGGATTGCTAACTGCAGGATTGGCAGTTCAAACCCACCTGTCACTGTGCCGGAGAACGATGCTCCTGTAAAGATTTGCAGTCTTGGAAATTCTGTGTTGTTGTCGTTAAGTACTGTCAAGTCCATTCTGACTCATGGCAACCTTGTAAAGTGTTTCTGAGGCAGAAAGCTTCATCTTTCTTCCATACAGTGTCGCTATGAGTCAGAATCAATCTGAAGGTAGTGAGAGAGTAAGAAACCCAAATGCAGTCTTGCGAAATATTCTAATATCCATCTATTTATTTATATATCTTAATTATATGGTTTGATTCAATTTTTCTTCTGTACAACTGTGCTGTTCATGATATTATTTCTTGGAGTTGATAAAAGAAAACTTGGGAGACAAAAGGAAAGGGGATAAAAGTAAAATGACTTGTTGTTTATCTTTTTGATCATCTGAAATTATGACTTTGATTTAAATAGAATATTGCAAAAAGTAAAATTTTACTGAAAATTGATCTAAGCACTCATATTTGGTTGATAAAAGTAATTCAAAATATTGTGAGCCCTCGTAAAATATTGCTGCATAAATAATTTTAAAAAGCAGCAACAAAACAAATAAGTATATGCATTTTGTTTTTGTAGAAGAAATGTAGAAAGAATGAATTTTGGACCCCTGAGGAAACACTTAAAGGGAACGCAGCTATTAAAAGGATCCAATCAAGGTATGTGTTCATGATTATTTCTCTCAAGTTAAGCACCCTGAAAGGTTGAATTGTGCTCATATTATAATGTAATTCTAGGAACAGTGTTATTCATTTTGGTAAGCTCAAATATTTTGTTTCTAAATGTTTTGTAAACAGTGCCCATTATAATAGTTCAATGCAAGCAGTTAGTAAATTGAGTATAGAGTGATATACTATAGCAGAAATTTTTTTGGTCTTTTTCTAATTGAGTCATACCTGCCTCCCACCCCTTCACAACTTCACTGCTATGAGCAAATATGTGGTAACGATGACTGCACTTTAAAAGTGTTAATATATAGGAGAAAGGGGCAATTTAATGCACTGCTAGGATACAAGAAACATTATACAGTTTTTATAATGTAATATATCTTTTTCATTAGAGCCTTAGCATTCACAGGATCCTTGATAATTTTTTAGTTGTTGGGGGCACACATGAAATTAAACATCTTTCGTAGGCATCAATTTAAATCTTATTTATATTTCTTAGCTTTATTGGGACTTTGTATACTGAATCATTACCTTATTTATTATTAATTTTCCTAGGGTAGCACTTACGTTTAGCCTTGTTAGGTAGGTTTTCTTAATTTGGAACTAAATAATTATGTGTCTTTAGCAAACATTTGATATGAACCTATTATACTGGTCTGCTAATGAGTCCTGGTGTGGTGCTGTGGGTTAATGTGCTAGACTGCACAGTAGGTTTCAACTGCAAGGTTGGTGAGTATTAATTGTGAATTGAAGCAAAATGTAATCTTTGACAATTGAAGTCTTCTCTGTTTATCATATGTTTTTTATTGGTCCAGTTTTGAGGATTTTGATTTTCTTTACACTGAAGTGCAATCTGTACTGAAGGTTGTAGTTGTTTATGTTCATCAGTACTTATTTGAAGTCCTCTTCATTCTCAGTAAGCAAAGTTTTGTCATTGGCATAATTCAGATTTTTAATGAGTCTACTTCCAACTGGAAGGACCTCTGGTAGCATAGTGATTATGAATCAGGCTATGAACCACAAGGTCAGCAGTTCGAACGTACCAGCTGTTCTACAGGAGAAAGATGAGGCTTTCTGCTCCCGTAAAGATTTACAGGTTCAGAAACCTTGTGCAGGGTTGCTATGAGTCAGAACTGACTTCACGACACACCAACTACTTCCAACTGGAGTGTCTCATTGCTCTGCACTATGTCTGGCTTTTTTTTTTTTTGCTGTTTATGGAAGTAGTTTGACTCTTTTCAGTTTGTCTTGGTGTGAAGCCCTGGTGTGACACAGTAGGTTAATGTGCTGGACTACTTGGTTTCAACTGCAAGGTTGGGAATTCAAACTTACCAGCTGCTCCTCAAACTTCACCCAGGGTTGCTACTGGAGGGCACTTAACAACAACAAAAGTTTGTCTTAGTCGTTGTTGTTGTTGTTGTTAGGTGCCGTGGAGTCGGTTCTGTCTCATAGCGACCCTGTACAGGGTTTCTGAGGCTGTCAATCCTTACGTGAGCAGAAAGCCTCATCTTTCTCCTGCAGAACAGCTGGTAGTTTCAAACTGATAACCCTGAGGTTAGCAGTCTGATTCATAACCATTACGCTACCAGAACTCCTTAGTCATTAGTATTGTAAAATAATGCAAACATTTTTAATAAGAAGACATAATCTCTGCTTTATATTGTAGTAGAGCATGAAAATATTAGAGGTGTTTAGGAAACCTTAGCGGGAAGAAGTTGGAAATAATCAAATAATATAAACAGCCACAGAAATAATTTATCATCGAGTCAGTTCTTGCTCATGATGAGTATTTGTGTGCCAGAGTAGAACTTTGCTCCATAGGGATTTTAATGGCCAATTTTTGGAAGAAAAGCTTGGCTTTACTTCCAAGACATCTTTTGGTGGACTTGAATCTCCAAAATTTTCATAATTAGCTGAGCATGTTAACTATTTCCTCTACTCAAGAACTCCTAAATTATTAATTGTTGTGAAATGCTGTTGAGTCAGTTCCGACCCATAGCAACCCTGTATAGGGTTTCTGAGGAGCAGCTGGTGAGATTGAACTTCCAACCTTGCAGTTCAAAACGGCTTTGCAGTCTGGCGCATTAACCACAGCGCCACACCAGGACTCCAAATTGTTAATAAGATCTCCAAATATTTGAGTGAGTGGTTCATGTTGTGGTCCTGTGAATAGGTTGGGATGATTACTTACTGGTTGTGTTTTATATATTTAAATGGTAATGCAAAGAATATGTAATGCATTCTCTATCCTTATCATTTGTACCCAATCTCTCAAAGTCAAGGGGACCATATTTAACTTTTACCTAGGGAAAAACTTGTCAATAGCATCCAATTGATTGTTGTTGTTAAGTGCATTTGAGTCAGATTATGTTTTAGGATTTTGGAGATTACCACTAATTATCTGGAAAAGTTTTAACAATTGTCAGTTGGGCTTATTGAAATGTAAAATATCCTGATCTTTAATTGATTCTTTAAATCACACGTAACTTTTTTTTTAAAAGTTTTTATTGTGAATTATGGGATCGTTTACATGGGAGAGCATTAGCTTTATATTCACCCTGTCGTATTTCGTTTCAATGCCATACTTAAAATTCCCTCCACACATCATTAAACAACCAAAGGGTATACCCCGCAAGCTTGCCCCCTGGTTGTCAGCACACGGCCCCTCTCCCTCTCTGGGCCTAGAGACCTCAGCCGCTCCATTTTTTCGTGTCTCCATCTCTGATGTCACTGTTTCTCTGGGTAGGATCCCTCACTCCACTCTTCTCCTTTGATGGTCCCAGGGACCTCTGCTCCTGGACTGTAAAATCAACCACTCCCTTCCTTTTGTTACAAAACATCTGCCTTTACATTTTCAACCTTACAAGTCATTCCTGATAGCAGTTATTCAGTGTTGTACCACAAGAGTCTCAGCCCCATCTCCTTTCATCATCCCCATCTAGACAGATTGGCAACTACTCAATGGAGATTCTGCTGTCCCTTGCACCCTCTGGAACTAGGCTCCCTCTTGAAAGTTTGTAAGCCAGTTATGTCTTGCCTTTGTAGCCCCCACCCACCCATCCATTTTGGGTACCTAATGTTTAAGTTGCCCATCCGTGCCTACCCTGTGTACCAAGGGGGTAGGAATGGTCCTTGATGTAAAGATTTCTTCGTTGTTTTGAGCTGCTACATCCATAGGTATAGGTCAAGTTCATCAAATTTTGTCAGATTACTATTTTTTTCCTCTTCTTTCTTCTTCTAGTTGAGTTCTGATCATCCAGCCATTGAAGCCAGGTCAAGTGGGTACTATCTGCAGTTGTGGGTGTTCTTGTGCATCTTCTCTCACTTCTTAGCAGCTGGACACTTCACTCACCATTCTAGTCCTCTGTGGCCATGCCACTGTCTCTGGGCCCAGGAGTCCCCAGTCTTGCCACACTGCTGGCCAACCAGGTCTCAATCTGGGATCACAAGTGTCTATTGGATGTGGTCAGACTTAGCTCACAACTACATTACTGTTTTTCCTCCACTTCCTCTTATCGGTGACCAACGTGGTCTCCAGTCAGACCACATGCCTGCTTGTGTATTCCCCTGGAGTCTTAGTCTTGTAAGGGGATTTGCCCTGAGGGGACCCGACCACCTGCCTTGATGGCTCCCGGGCAAAAAACTTGCTTGTTCTTGTAGTAATCAGATTGCCGTTATTGTTTTGTATTTTTCCTGTTGGTCTTTCTTTCAAGAAGTATCTTCTGTTCTTCTAGCCACTCTAGGCGGGTCTGCTTTTCTTTCAAGTGGAGATTTCCGACCTCAAAAGATTCTGGATGGGGTTCAGGATTCCACCTTATGCAATGCAAAAGCTTCACAGGAAGCCTCCTTCACTGGGCAAGTTGTAGTGCCATTTTAGGGATTCCAATTAATTATAGGCAGAAGACGGACTTACACATTTGTATGGTGAAATTTATGGCTATTCCTTTCTCTCCCCTTAAAGTGTTTATTTTATAATGGTATGCCAGGGAAACCAACATTCAAAAGACAGCCAAACATCTTAACATTATTTCCCCTCTATTTACCCATTTAAACCATGCCTGTATCCCAGAGCCCTGTTGTTCCAAGGTTGTGCATACATCATCCTTTACCTCTGTCCCACTTAGCCCATGCAAACCTGCCTAACTGTTCTCCCATCTGCCTTGTTCTTCCATTCCCCTCTCCCTTTTTGTGTATTGCCCTCCCCCCACCCCCTAACACCCAAGCTATCCTGTGTCTGTTCCCTACCCTGTGCTCCACCTTCCTCTCCCTCCCTTTACCCACACCCCAAGAAGAATGAAGTCCTTGACAACTTTAATCTTTTCTCCATTGATAAGAATGTTGTTTATTGGTCCAGTGGTGAGGATTTTTTTTTTTTTTTTTTTAACATTGAGATGTAATCTATACCGAAGGCTGTGCTCTATGATCTTCATCAGTAAATGTTTTAAGTCCTCTTCACTTTCAGCAAGCAAGGTTGTATCATCTGCATATCGCAGGTTGTTAATGAGTCTTCTTCCAATCTTGATGCCACATTTTTCTTCATAGAACTCAGCTTCACAGATTATTTGCTCAACATACAGGTTGAATAAGTATGGTGAAAGAATACAACCTTGTTGCACACCTTTGTAATTTTAAACCATTAAGTGTTCCCATGTTCTGTTTGAACAACTGCCTCTTGGTCCAGGTACAGATTCCTTATGAGCACAATTAAGTGTTCTGGAATACTCATACTTCGCAATGTTGTCCATAGCTTGTCATTATCCACACAATCAAAAGCCTTTGTGTAGTCAATAAAACACAGGTAAACATCTTTCTGATATTCTCTGCTTTCAACCAAGATCCATTGGATACCAGCAATGATATCTCTTGTCCACAGCCTCTTCTGAATCCAGCTTGAACCTCTGGAAGTTCTCTGTCATTGTAGCCGTTTCTATGTTACCTTTAGCAAAACTTTACTTCATGGGATATCAAAGAGATTGGGATATCCCAATCAA